TATAATATTCATCATAAGTGTCATTATTTTAAAAAAGGCATGTTCGCTAGTCCAGAGTGGGGACTAGTGACCTGTCCCAAGCCTTGAGTGGGGGCTTGGAGCTCAAAGTGGGGGCTCGGGATTCGTAGAGATTCGGACCCGATTCATATGAAAAACCAAACATTGAGTCAGTACCGCATGCATATAGAGTTGAGTTCTGAATCCAATTCAGAATAAGGACCGTGACGAACATGAGTCGAGTCATTTATTATATAATTTAAATGAACATGATTGAATGAATGTGCTGTGAGTGATTAATGTTTTCGGTCATGTGGATAATTATGTATATGCATGGACCTATCCTGAATGATTATGCACTTTGTATTATTTAAATATATTCTTACCCCTTTTATGTGTTGTTGCGTCTATGCTCCTCTGGAGTACAGATAATCAGGTACCTGAGTAGGAGCTTGAGAGTGAGGACGATGTTAGACCTCTTTAGTTGCTATCATCCGAGTCTATAGTTGGAGTCGCTCTGATACGTAACATGAGGGGACCAGGCTGTCCTTTTTTTGTGTTGTGGTGTATCTTTTTGTTTTGTTTGATTCTGAGATGAACCATTTTTCAAACTAATAATTATATTAGGCTTTTATGCCAGGTGTTTTTGTGATTTTGTTACTTATCAAACAAGTTATTTTTATTATTATGTGGTTCAAAATGTTTTGGATTGTGTGAGTAGTATCCTACTTGGTGAATATTTATGTTTTTATACATGTTTATTATTTAATTGTTAAGTCGGGAAGCAGGGTGTTACATAGTGGTATTAGAGAAGATCGGTCCATCCGACCAGGTTTTTGACGTGATAAATGTTCCCTAGTATGCGACATGTGTGTGTATATTATCGATGCATTGTTTCTTATAATATATGCTTGATGGTGTGCATAATGGATGGAAAAATATCGCCCTATTGCTGATGCTTTGAAGTTAGTGGCTCAGGCACTGCATGGACAACATAATCAGGCTGATGATAAGTTTCGTGGACTAGGAAAATTTCAGAGGAATAATCCACCAATGTTCAAGGGTAGGTATGATCCGGAGGGTGCTCATGCATGGCTGGAAGAGATTGAAAAGATTTTCTGAGTGATGGCCTGTACTGAGGAGTGGAAGGTTTTGTTTGGTATTCACATGTTGTCCGAGGAAGCTGAGGATTGGTGGGATAACGCACGTCAGAGGCTATAGGTTATTGGTGTCGAGGTTACTTGGGTTATGTTCAGAGCACGGTTTCTAGAAAAGTACTTTCCTAAAGATGTGCGTAGCAAGAAGGAGATTGAATTCCTTGAGTTGAAGCAAGGAAATTCGACGACTACAGAGTATGCTGCCAAGTTTGAGGAGCTATTGAAGTTTTATCTCGATTATAATAGTGATGCTGGTAAGGGTTCTAAGTGCATCAAGTTTGAGAGGGGGTTGCATCCTAAGATTAAACAACTCATTTGTTATCAGAAGATTCGACATTTTTCTGTATTGTTGAATAATTTTCAAATTTATTTTAACATCAAGCTGGGCTCGAATCGAAAAGATGTTTTACATAGGATAGCCACAAACCAATATGAGCTTTTAACCACATACTGATACCAAACCGAATGAAGACATTTGAACGGGCAGACCCTTCAAATCATACCAATGACATATAAACTAAATCCCCAAAACCAAGTTCTTAACAGATGAAATATTTAATCAAGGTAAAAATAAACTCCCTTGGTGAATTTCAAATTCTATCCTTCCAGAATTACATAAGCCTCACTTGAAAAAACAATTTTCTCGAAAGAACTATGGCTAAATTTTAGTGAGAGAAAGTAAAGAGAAATATTTTAGAAAGAGAGTTAGGAGTGAGAAATTAAAGCTCATGTTTTTGGATGTGAAAATATGTGAGAAGGGACCACTATTTATGGCTAGAGATTGACATAAAAAAAGAAATTTTTGTGACCAAAATTGATGAGCCAATTGATTGACATCATGCACCAAACATTTGGCTGACCTAAAAGTAATTGTTTGGTTTGTTTTAAATCACAAGAAAGAAAACACACACACACACACACACACACACACACACACACACACACACACACACACACACACACACACACACACACACACACACACACACACACACACACACACACACACACATATATATATATATATATATATATATATATATATATATATATATATATATATATATATATATATATATATATATATATATATATTCTTGAGGAAAAAAGTTTGAAAACTTGTTTTAGTTGTGTGTGTGATTAGCCTAGTAACTTTGGGAGGAAACATTTATGCTTTTATAATGTTATTCAATCACATGCTTCAGTGTGGGCTTTCACACACTTTAAGTCTTGTTAGATGCATCACTTTTGCAGACACTTGCTTGAGCTTTAATTTGAGAAAAGAATTGAGTTATATTACATTTACACTTGCTTCAGTGTGGGTTTATTTTTTTTTATAACTTGAAATTATATATTTTTTCCTGATAACTAATAATTAAAAACATTTCAATAACCTCTAGTTAGCAAATTTTTTTATAACTTATAGTTAGTGTTTTTTTTTTTTTAAATTCAAATTTAAAATTAATTGTTTTTAATAAAATTCAAAAATAAAGAGTTCCTAGTCTGGTCGTTTAATTTTCGTCTGACCGTTATTTTATTTGTCTCTGTTTGCTAACTTGGGATCTTTTTTTATATTTCACCTTTCTGTTGTAATTTCGCGAGGCTATCGTCGCTTTATTTCCGTATATTTTTATGGTTGTAATTTACACGAGTGATCGTCGCATTGCACTCTTGCTACCGCTTTCATATTTTCTATTATTTCAAATTCTACCATGTAATAATTTATCATCTGCATTATTTCCCGTTAACGTCCATCCGAAGGATTAGGTCTAACAGTTTGACCGCCGAGTCAATAGTCCTCTCCTTTGACACATTCAAAACCCTAATTGCCTAGGTGTCTTGTCGTGGACTTAGATGCCCTTTACCCTAGCATTAGGTCAAGGAGTCGCCGCACTCCGTTTTAGGGTTTCCCGCCGTGGAACTTTTAGCTTAACCCTAATTTCAATTCAACTTTTCAACGTAGAGATTGGAGTCGCTGCACTCCATGTAAGCGCTTCCCTATGAATATTTATTCCCCATTGAAACCTTGACCACAATCAAGAAGTTTTTAACCTCCCTTTCGAGAGGAACTACGATTACTCTGATTCCATTCCCTATCCAGGATACGTAGGCACAAGATGCGAATTTTGACGAGTAAACTTAATACTAACCCTTATGTCTCTGTCACTCTTAACCCTTAGCAGTATATATCTTCATGCAAATAATTAAAGCAAATACTAAATTTAAACAAAAGGTTCCTATAGAGTACTACAGAAGTTTAGGGTGCTAATACCTTCCATAAGCTTAACCAACCCCTTACCTAGATCTCTCCCCACATTGTCTTTACGATGCAAAATTAGGTTTTCCCTCTTTTGACCTTTTCCTTCGGATAAATCAAAGAGCGGTTGTGAACTAAAGATGTAATTCAAATTAATTAATAATTTGATATCATATTCTAACCGCAACATATATCATTGACATTAATGTAAATAATAAAGATTTATCTATGTTGTAACTAATCAAAATTATTAAAACCGAACAAATCTCTAAATCGTTGTAGAGAAGAGTTTAAGATTCTTGGAGTTGAATCTGTTCTATGTAATATATTTTAAAATTTTCTTAAATAATATATCATATGTTTCTAGAATACATTTTAAAATATTTTCAAAATAAATAAATACATACAAACATACATACATACATACATACATACATACATACATACATACATATATACATATATATATATATATATATATATATATATATATATATATATATATATATATATATATATATATATATATATATATATATATAATTTTTTTATGTTAGTTAATTTACAATAATTAATTTTTCATTTTTCAAATGAAAAAAATTTATATTGTACACAAGAAAATTTTAAAAAGAAAAATAAATTGAAATCATCTTCATCATTTTACACAAGACTCAAAATTATATTTTTAAGGACTCTTAAATTCAATAAAATAAAATAAAATTATTTAATAAAATATTATTATCTCCATCTTAAATTATAAGATGTTTTTGTTAAAAAATATTTTTAAATTATAATTCATTGTATAATAACCATACGTTTTATTATTATTATTATTATTATTATTATTATTATTATTATTATTATTATTATTATTATTTGTCTAATAATTTATTGGTTAAAATTTTGGGTAAGTGAGATATTGCATGTTTGAACTTGCGAGTTGCAGTGCAACTACCAATTGAAATAAATTAATAAAATAATCATTTTAATATACAATTTATTATTTATTATTCTCTCTTTTTACAATTTTTTAAATTTATATTTCCTATATCATTATACTAATCACCAAGAATGTGTGATCATATTTTTCTTTAATGAAAATTGCATTATATTGAGTTTAAAAAATATATATTTATTTTTTTTACTCGATAAAAAATATAGTTATATGGCACATTTAACTCACATTTAACATGTTTAAACCATAGGTATAAAAAATATTGAATTTACTATTAGCAAATATAATTTATTAGATAAATATAAGACTTGTTATTTAAAATCTAATTAAATAGGATTGAAAAATAATTAATTTGGTATTTGAACAAAAATTCTTATTTTAAATAGATGTCATCTCTATATTTTCATTTCTCTCTCATTGTTTAATTATGATATTAAGTGTATTTCTCATTAAAATGTAAAAGTACCTTTTTCTCCGTGAAGTTTAGTTTGTACACGTCATAGTTAATCTAGAAGAAAACTACAATCCAACTTGAAAACCTAATTCATAGAATCTATGTCTCTCACACTCGAAACAACTATAAATACCCTACTATATTGTTAATCTCTTCATCATAAAATACACACCTCTGATAATGGCAGACAATAAACTTCCCCCCTCATCTTTCTCTCCAAACTTTAAAAATGAGTACTTAGAGAATGTAGTCGCTCATACCACCACCACCAACAACAATGACACGTTGTTGATGCCACCACCATCACCTACACAAACTTTCTCTAATGGGCATACGGATCTCCCTCAAGATCCAAGGGAGAAAACTACCAAATCCTCCTCCAAAAAGCGTAAGGGTAGACCCCAAGGCTCTAGGAATAAGCCTAAACCACGCATCATTATCGAGGAAAACAAAGAAGCTCTCACAGAAGTGGTTACAATTAAGATATGTGTCGGAGAAGATATTGTGAAGACTATAATTAATTATGCTATACAGCGTCAAGTTGACATAGTAGTGTCGAGGGGTTTCGGTCTTGTCACTAATGTTACTCTTCTCGATCCAATATCTTGTGTTCCATTATTACCCATCGAAGGACCATTACATATGACATCTTTATTTGGAACATATGTAAATCCCAATTGTGATTGTGCTCCTCTGCAATTCATAGCTAATCCACCATGTTCATCTTTTACCATATATTTCTCTGGTATTAATGGACATGTGTTTGGTGGAGTTGTTGGTGGAAAAGTTATTGCTGCTGGTGTTACTTTTATTAATGCCACTCTTGTCAAGAAAATCACGTTCTCTAGAGCGGTTTCCATCAAGAGCAACGATCGGAAAATTGAAGAAGGTGAACCAATACATGACAATGGTGTTATCATCAACACTGACGTGTAGCACATGCATGAATCTCAGATGTATGAAAGCTTCAATGGCGTGAGTGCTAATTCAACTCAACTGAATCATCAAATGTCCCATAACTATCTTCCTACAGATGAGAGTGTCGTGTCGTGGAACCACTCCACTCACACTAGAAACTTCTAGATAGATAAAAACTCTTATGTGTTCTCCTATGTTGTTTTTTAAAATCTTTTTAAAATTGGAATAAAATATTCTTAATTTCTCTTTTTAACTATTGCTTTTATGTGGTGACTTTATATATATATAAAAGTGAAATTTAACTTATTCCAAATTTTTTTTAACTTACATCGAATTATTGCTTTTAAATTGATATATTCTCATTTTTACATAAATAATTATTTAATTAAAATTAATTTAAAGACTATGATTTGAAGTAAAGTAAAAAAAACTTATTTTAGAAGTTGAACTCGACTATATATATATATATATATATATATATATATATATATATATATATATATATATATATATATATATATATATATATATATATATATATATATATATATATATATATATATATATATATATATATATATATATATATATATATATATATATATATATATATATATATATATATATATATATATATATATATATATATATATATATATATATATATAATTTTAATATTAAAAATATATTTAATAAAAACATATTTCAAACATTTTAATCACACTTTTAGTTCAACTATTTTATATTTCATATTTAATAATAGTAATTTATATAAATATTAATTTAACAAATTACATCCCTTTTCAAAACCAAATATTTTTATTATTTTTATGAATATTCAGTTTTATATAAGATTTAGGGTTTTTAAAATAATAACAAATTTATAATGAATTATTAAAGTAATTATTTTTAAATATTAAATAAGTAATTTCAAATATAAAGTAAGTAATTAATTAAATATAAAATAAATATTTACATAATAAACTTATATTATTAAATATTAAAATAAAATAGTTAAAATAAAGTGTAATTGAAAAGTTTGAAATTATTTTATATTAAATTATTTACTAAATATTTCAAAACTAAACATTTAAAACATATTTCAAGACCAAATATTTTTATTATAAAATAGTTGAAATAAAAGTATAAATGAGAGATATAGAAAGTGATATAATTAAAATAAAAGTGTAATTAAAATGTTTGAAATATAATTTTTCTAAAATAGCAAACAAATAAAATTATGGAATACACATAACTTATGTGAGGAAAAGTATCAAAGTAAGGAGTTTGGCCCATTGATAAAGTGGTGTATTAAAGAATTTCTTATTGCATCCTATATATTTCTAACGTATCATGTGAATTTTTATATCTATCTTTTGGTTGTTGTGAAGGTGGTAGATGTTAGCAATGACTTTAAAAATAAGTAAGAGTTTGAATCTCGTGATCAAATGCTAAAATGGATTTGCATGGAGGCCTATAAACTTGGATTTGGTGTGGTTATCGAAAGGTCCGATAATAGTTCGGATAGAAGATGCACATGTGTGACAATGATGTGTGAAAGAAGTGGGAAATATCAAATTCCTCTCTGAAATTTTAAAAGATTTAGCACGGATAGTAGAAGTGGGAAATATAATTTTGTGCCTTCACCATATTCTCACTATGTGCTTGTAGTAGAGTTGGATATTGTTTTGTGCTGCAAGCGAGGGAACTTGGGTTCAACACCTATGGGGACCCTTTCCTTTTTTTAGCACTTAAGTTCTTCACTTTTCTTCACATTTTTAAATATCCATAACTTTCACATTTTTAATTATTTTGAATCCATTCTTTTTGAAAAGAAAATATCAAAAATAATTATTTTTCTCATATTTATGAGTGCCTAAAGTGTGTGACTTTTTTAGGATTTCTTAAGTTTCTTCTTGATTCTTTTAAATGGTTCATTGCCTTTACTTGCTCACAATGACTTGTTTAAACCATATACATCTTATATGAATCTTAAATAATGTTGTGAATTTGTACACACTTTTCCTTACTTGATTTTAATACATTTTCAAATGTATGTTTACATGTGAATGAATGATGAACTTTCAATCATGCCATGAATTTTTTGCTTGATCCTTTGCCTTAACATGTTGATTTTCTTCCATGTTTACATGACTTTGATATGTTTATGTGCCTTTGTATTTATCATATCATATTTATATGCTCCTAAAATATTTGAACTTTGCCCTAAAATGCTTTTATATACATGTTTATCTGTATGAACTATTGTGATGTTTCCACTTTATCCAAGCCCGTGTTTAAACCCTAACATGAATGTTTGATTGTTATCAACTTGTCTTAACATTTCAAATTGTATCTTTGCTTAAATGTTCAAGTATTTGCTTCATAAAACTCTCACCATGTTGAATACATCTCTTGTTTTAAATTCATTTTCAATAAAACATCTTGGACCTTTATTATAGTGTAAGATCCATCACTTTTCACATTTTTAAAACCAATCATTTTAAAAACCTTTTGGGCCTCTATTAGAGTGTAAGTCTGTATCGCACCTCGAAAATTCATTCGAACATACGACCCTCTCGCAAAAGGCGCGAAAATGCGGTTCGACAGAGTCGCCACCGAACTTTATTATCCCGAATAGACGGGAGAGGAACATATCGAGAAAACCTCATAAACGCGGAAGGAACACGACCATTGCAACCAAATGTTCCTGGATTCAGGAGTCGGTTACGCGAGGGGAAGGTATTAGCACCCCTCACGTCCGTTGTACTCAACGGGAACCTCTTAATTCGAGTTGTGATGGATGTTAGTTAGGCTTAATTCTTCTCTTCTTAATACTAGATACTGAAACGATACTGCAAAGGGATAAAGACGCTAGGGGAAAGGGGATGGTTAGAGGATAGGGTGCTCGCCAAGGATTGGGGTCCTTGTGCCTACGTATGCTCATTCGGACGAGAATGAGAAATCAGAGCGCTCGTAGTTCGACTACGGTAAAAGATGGGGGAAATGGGAAGATGGAGGGGATTGTGCTCGCCAAGATCATCGCAATCTTGTGCCTACGTATCTTACATTCAAGAATGAATGAAGAATCAGAGCAGTCGTAGTTCGTGGTAACGACCACGAAAGAAACTGGTTTGAATTGGTTTGAAGGTGGGTACGGATGACGATTACTTGAAGCTTAAGAAAGACTTCTCGGACCCAAGTAATCGGGAGAGTGAACCAAAGACTTGGAACTCTCTCTTTTTCATCTTGAAGAAAAAGGTTGTGTTTGAATAAAGGTGACGTTGAATTGATGACAATTACTTGAAACTTAAGAAATACTTCTCTGACCCAAGTAATTGGGAGAGCGAACCAAAGACTTGGAACTCTCTCTTTTTCATCACAAAAGAAGGTTGTTTGGATGGGTGAGGTTGATCGGATGACGACTACTTGAAGCTTAAGAAAGGCTTCTCGGACCCAACTAGTTGGGAGAGCGAACCAAAGACTTGGAACCCTCTCTTTTTCATCATGAAAAGAAAGTCGTTTTGAGTTTGAAGTGATGTTGGAGGGATGAGTAATTGAAGGATGGTTGAACGATGTCGAATTATTAATGTTATTTAAAGGCGTCAATTTCTCACACACGAATAAGATAACTCGCATCTAAACAACCGAAAGCAAGATCAAAGACTTGAACCTACTCTTTACACCTTGAAAAGAATTGAATAGTTGTTAATTGATTGATAGTTTGTTATGAAAATCCACTTGACGTTGGATCAAAAGTTTGACTTATTATCGCGTGCAAAGCGTGTTGGAATGAAAATGGTTTGAAAAACGAGACCGACTTGTCTTACGCATCAAGGGTCAAATTGTATGCAATAGGTTGACGGCGAATGCGTATGAGCACTCGACTTACAAGGGTTTGAAAATGGATCGATGACGAATCGAGAATTAGTTTGAAAATAGTTTGATCCGCTCTAGTCCCTATGGGTGCTCCTAAGAGATAAACTAATAATCAAAGAAATACGAAACATACATCGGAATGGGAAAGGGGTAAATGTAAGTTACACGAGATTGTCCGAAATAAAGGGGTCTCATTGTCAGGTAGGCCAAGAGAAAGTCGTGTGTGTGCATTGTGTCCTAAACTACGCCTTGAGCAAAGTCGGGCACGACTCAAAATTAGGGTTCCTACAAATAACCAATGATACAACAGTCCACCAATTCGGTTTTTAGGATTTCGATAGTTTATTATGTGTTTTCAAATATGGGTGAATGAGAATGAATAATATGATATGACAATATGAATATGGCAAGGTAATATATCAATAATATCCACAATAATATTTAACGAAAATTAAAGTTAGTGGCTAGTTTAGTGAATCGAATCGGGACACGAAAGAATGGATCTCGTCTTAATCGCAAACATAATGTTGATTAATCGAAGGTAGCCTATCACGATCCCAAAGTAAGGAAAATGACCCAATAGTCATTCTTCATAGATTTGAAATCGAGAAGGTTATCAACTTCGATACGTGACGCTTACGAATAAAAGACTTCATCGATCCAAAAATTGAAATAAAATCAGAAAAAGAAAGGTGGTCTTGGATCCTTTGTTTCACGCCAATATTTTGACGGCTAAACGGTGGTAATCTCGTCATCGACCCAAAAAAAATAAAATAAATTAAAGGGTAATAAAGAAAAAAAACCCAAACTCTAACAACACTTAATCAAATGAAATTACAAAAATGATTAGCTAAGTGTTTTAATAAAATATTAAGAAAACTCTCATTAAAACCATAGAAAATTAACAAAACAAAACAATGAGGGGTATGAACTGAAATAAAAAAGTATGGATAGGAAAGGGTTTGTGACTCATGCGGGATTTAGGCCCATCATCATATGCCACAAGTTTTAAGAAGTTAACATAGTAAAAAAAATAAGCCGTGGACTATCCAAAGAAAACCCAGATCCGCATGAGTAAAAAGAGGGAACATGATTTCTGCAAGCAGACCTAGCGATCGAACTCAGTTAGGGATTCAAAA